TGTCTTTACAACTTTTACTTGTAATGGAGTAATATTTGACCAGCAGTATCTGTACTTTCACTCAAGTAATGGAGTTGAGTACTTTGTCCGCCTCTGAAGGAAACTGGAATATTCCTCCATCCTCAGTTTTTGTCCTCAGTGCTTTTTTCTTTCTATCAGCTTGTGTTTCCCCTCTAAGAAACCTGGGACACAAACTCAAACTCTCTTCATATAGATTCGCAGACAGACAGAGTAGAGGGAGGAGAGAGGGCTGGAGGGGAGTTGACTGGGGTTGACCAATAATTAGATAAATAGAGGGAGGGGCAACATGAGAGAATGAACAAAAAAAGTAGAAAGAGTAGTGAGAAAATTTGGAAGAGTGGCGCCCTCTTTTGAAAGGGTAAAGAGGAACCACTGTCACCAAATATACATCATAAAACAACTGAGGGGGTCAAGGTTTGGCTGGTTAGCATGACCCCAATAGCCCCTGCTGGTGGATGCCTGTAACTACAACACACAGCACAAAAAAAATATATACTTTTTACATTTGAAAAATTTTAGTATTTTTTAGTACACTTTAAAGAAATATTTTTTGAAGTTGTAAATAAAGATTTTTTTAATACGTTTTAGCAGAAAATACAATGTCAGTTATTCTACTTCAGAATTTTGCATTTAATTAAACTTGTTACTTGCTGTTTCTTTGTGATTAATTGTGAAATTTAACAGCAATTTCTGAGTGAAAATTGTTTTGACCCCAGATTTGTTACAAATTGTTACACAGAATTTCTCATTTGTTCTAATTATATATCGAATGATGCATCATCATCCTGCACAAAAGTCATCACTGAACATGCTATGGATTAGCAGTAAATGTGCTCTAATGAGGGAAATCTTCCCAACTTTTTAAAATCGCAGCCTCTTTTGCAGAACAAAAAAAAAACTTTCAGGGTATCCTGTGACAGCCAAGAAAGTACCAGTGAGATGGGAAACATATAACTTTCTCCAAGTATTATAGATCTCCTTGCAAAGAACAACCAACGACAATAAAAACTGTGGAGGCACATTTTTCACATAACAGTCAATGAATATTTACACATGCAAATAACCTAATAAGCAATCACCGGCACTTGACTCCTTCCTTCAGCAAACAAACTGACAGACTTATAGTGTTTGTGGTAAATGACAATGTAACTATTAATTTCAGTTGAGTGTAATGTGAATGTGTGCACTCATTAAGCCATGGTAATCTCAAGCAACAACATAATAATTTGTTTAACGGACACGGTATGCAGTAAAGAGAATAAAATGATTGATTTTCCTTTATGGGAACCTTTTACATGAAGGAAAATTCACACCACACAGAAATGCAGTCATTGCAGAGGAACATGAGGAATAAATGCAACACACTCTTGACATTGCTTTTCATTGACAGGACTGTGATTGGACAGTAATTCAATTTGGCTGCGGCACAATTTCCACTCTGTTTAGACTGCAATGCAAAATACAGCATCATTCAGGCAAATGCAATAATGTGTCTCATATTTAACTTGCCAAGTGTAAAGTGTCACACTTGCAGTATAGCTTGATAAGTGGATTATATTTCAAGGTGGGAATGTTTTTCATTCAAACAGGAATTTCTGCATTTTGTTGTTTCAAAAGCAAATTACCATACATTTTAATGAAGATAAGTGGCTGTAAAAAATAAATAATGACAGTTTTGCTTTTCATTGTGGCACAATATAAGGCCGGTTGCAATTTATATACAGGTTGCAATGAAAACCAATGAGTGTATTGAGTTTTACATCGTTTCTCTGTAATGACTGCTTTTCATGAATTCAGAAATTCTCTCCCATATGTTTACATGTCTACATTTGAAACTGTCATTTAACCAGCTTTGTCTTCAAGTATGCAGGGTGCAATAGTGGTTTTATAGTACTGTGCCACCGGGCAGCTCCTCAGAGCCAGAACTGCTGTAAAAACAGCCCATCATTATTTTATCAAGATGAATGAGCACACTTCAGTCTGAGCACCAACATTCAGGGGAGAGAAACATGCAGGGGTAGGGGACCAAACATTCATTCATCATTTGCTACACAAAATCTCTCTTATTATGAAGTGTATTTTGTAAGTGAACCAAAACCTTACAGTCTATGGGAATGGTCAGTCTATATGGCTTACTATGTACATTTACATTTATTTAGCAAAAAGCAAAAAAAAAAAGGCCTGAGAAGACAAGTAAGAGGGTCCAGGGGATCTTTATGTACACACCTTTCCTCTTTTTCTTTATCCTTTGTCTTTTCACCCTCCTTCGTCTCTGTCTAATTAACTGATGGTTGATGAAGTCAGGGAATAGTCATTATGAAAGCCTTCATTAGGATGTTCCTCTCTTTCATTGCTCTGTGCTGGAATAACACTGCAGTTTTCACATTTTCACTCAGCTGCACCTCAGTGGCTTTGATTAGTGCATCTACAGTGCTTCAGAGACTTGTGTGCTTGTGTGTGTCATATATCTAATGTTCAATAAATGAAGCATGTTAACGTGAGATTTATACATATTTTATATACCTTTTGCATTTTGATTTATTAAATTATGTATTTTGTTATGTATTTGTTTCTTTTATTATCAGAGATACTGGACTGGGTAAAGTTAGATGTTTTGAGTGTGTTCTGTACTGCTAATGTGTCAATATTAAAATCAATCAATCAATCAAATCAAGTGCTGTATGAAACAAATTTCTAATAAATGAATAAATTGTAGTATGAAACAAAATTCCAACAAACATACAAACAATTAAAAAAGGTTTTGTATAAGTGGGCTGAGAATGCTTCCCCTCGTTGTACAACTGTGCATATATTGTTTTTCTGTTTAAACTGGAATTGAAAACTTCCTCACCATCCCTTCCTTTCTAAAATCATAATTAAGGTATAAAGCTCCAGAAATATGCTTTATTTGCACACACGCACAGTGCATACAGGTCAACATACAAAGTTGCCTATGTATGTGAAATACAACCCCTATAGTTGAGAAAGGACATGTGATAATCTATGACAAGTGACAATGACAAGACTAACATTTTCTAAAAATGAATTGATATTAATAAGAGGAAATGAGCCATGAGCACCTCAACATGATGCTCAGTCAGTCACCAGCACAGACACAATGAGAACAAGTACCAACGATTGTGATTTATGGATGATTTTTGTCAGCCAATTTAAGAATTACAAAGGGGGAAACTGAAGAAAAGGAACTAATCTAGATGAAACACAGGCAGAGAGACAGAGGGAATACGTGTGCCCGTGTGTGAAACTGCAGGCTTTAATTGCACAATGGATTGTCACACTATGCAAAGAGAGGCTCAAACAAGGCCAAGGAAGT